ACTGATCTTTTTACTTATTTGCATCATTTTGCCTTTTCAGATTGGTTTCTTTTACTTAGTAATATGCATTTAAGGTTACTTCATGTCTTTTCATAGCTTGATAGTTCATTTCTATTTTTAGCACCTAACGGTATTCTATTATCTAGATGTACCACAGTTTATTTATTTATTTATTTACTGAAAGACATCTTGTTTGCTTCCAAATGTTGGCGATTATGAATAAAGCTGCTTTGGACATTCATGTACAGGTTTTTGCATGGACATACGTTTTCAACTAATTTGAATAAATAGCAATGAGTGTGATTGCTTAATTTTGTTGTAAAAGTATATTCAGTATTGTGAGAAAATCCAAGAGTATACTCCAAAGTGTGTGTACCATTTTGCATTCCCACCAGCAATGAATGAAAGTCCCTGTTGCTCCACATCCTCACCCGCATTTGGAATTGTCAGTGTTTTGGTTTTTGGCCATTCTAATAGGTGTGTACTGGTCATCTTCTTATTTTCAATTTTGAATTGTAAGTACAGTTTTATATCGTATATGTAGTTTTGTATTTGTTACTTGATTAATGTTTTTCTCCCCATAGACTGTGAGTTCAGTGAGAGCAAAGACTAACTCTGTTTTTGCCCATCATTTTATCACTTATGTCCAGGACAATGCCTTGAGCATAATACACCCTTGATGAATATTTTAATGAATGAGTAAACACCCTGACTGGCTCATTTTGACCGAGGGCTTCTACATAAGAATCCAAGTCTACTGGAGTTGATGGAGCAGAGGCCAACCTGCTTAGATCATATCCTGGGACAGCAGTTTACCCAGGGCTGTCATAACTCAGTAGATGTATCTGGCCATTAGTTTTAGGTAGCTCCTCATTTACGCAGTTGCCCTTCATGTAAAATTTAAATTATTCAACCCAGTTTAACAAGCTTTGGACAAAGACAACTTTTTTCCTTTTTGTATTATCTCAGGAAATCTGACTTCTTCCTCAAGCACTTCTTCAGAGCTTCATGGATGTCTCTGTTTCTCAGGCTGTAAATGATGGGGTTAAGCGTGGGTGTCAGGACGGTGTAGAGCAGAGAGGCCCCTTTGCGCAAGAGTTGAGATGCATTGGCTGAAGGCACAAGGTATGTGGCAATCAGTGTCCCATAAAACACCATGACCACAGTGAGGTGGGAAGAGCAGGTAGAGAAGGCCCTTTTCCGGCCTGTGCCAGGTGGGATTCTTAGGATAGCAGAGAGGATGCAGGAGTAGGAGGCTACGATGAGGAGAAATGGGACCAGAGTTACTGCAGAAGAGGTAGCAAAGGCAATGATCTCAGTCACTGAGGTGTCCGAGCAGTGCAGAAGAGGTGGCAAAGGCAATGATCTCAGTCACTGAGGTGTCCGAGCAGGAGAGATGAAGTCACAAAAGAGGGGTGAAGTCACAAAAGAAGTGATCAATTTCATAGGGTCCACAGAATGTTAGTCTACACAGCAAGACTACGGTGCTTGCTGTGAGAAGGAAGCAGCAGAACCAAGAGCCAGCAGCCAGCCTGATGCACAGGGAGCCAGTCATGAGGACGCAGTAGTGCAGAGGCTGGCTGATGGCTAGGTAGCGATCATAGGACATTACAGCAAGCAAAAGGCACTCTGTGGCAGCCAGGGATCCAAAGAAGTAGAACTGTGCCAGGCAGCCAGCCACAGAGATAGTCTTCTGTTCAGCTATGATAATCAGCAACATTTTAGGGCTAATGTTAGAGGTATACCAGATCTCCAGAAAGGACAAGTTCACCAGGAAGAAGTACATAGGGGTGTGGAGGTGATGGCTGACCAAAACTAGAAGGACAATGAGGATGTTTCCAGAAACAGTTAAGATGTAGAAAACTAAAATTATCATAAAGAGGAAAATATTTAGCTGTCTGACGGAGGAGAATCCTCGGAGCACGAATTCCACTCTCACAGTTTGGTTTTCCCAGGACAGGATCACCATGCCTCAGCTTCACTAGAACAGAACACCCAGTGATAAAACAAGAAAATGCAGAAAGTTCTAGCTTACACAAAGGACATCAACAGTGAATGGTTTTTAAACCCCACTCAGGTTTTTGGAAGGCTTCTTATTTGACTGGAGAGAGATCATCTTTTTGTTTTTCAAGGTCTAAAATAGGAAAGAAAAAATTTGGAATAAGAACCTATGACTTCAATCTCCCTTTTTCTCTTTTATCTTCACTTCATCAGTAGCAATGTCAGTCTTTGAGGAAAGCAGAAACAGTAGAATGCAAAGGGGAAGGAGGACAAAGAAAGGGAGGAAGAATCACCTATTACATGCTCTTCCTGCATGTACTGTGTTAATCTGGTGAGTTATGAAAAGGAAGGTAGAAGATCTGAAGGGAGATAGAAAGGAAAGGAGGATGAGGAACACATTCCGGAGGATTTTAGAGCTCTCACAGAGAACCTAGAGAGTCACGAATCCAAGACAAAGAACCCTTCCTCTCCCACCTCAAACTTTGTTTATCTTGAGATGGCCCCGTCCTGTCAATCACGTATCCTTTTCTTTTCAGTTTCTTCCTGAGTTGGGAAGGAAGTTTTTTATTTCTGTTTCAGTTACGATGGCACTATCAAGAGAAAATCATGTGAATGTGAGGTTTGAGATTCTCTGATTCTTTTTTTTTTTTTTTTAGATTCAGTCTCATTCTGTCACCCAGGCTGGAATGCAGTGGTTCAATCTTGGCTCACTGCAACCTCTGCCTGCCAGGTTCAAGTGAGTCTCCTGCCTCAGCCTCCCAAGTAGCTGGGATTACAGGTGTGCACCACCATGCCCGGCTAATTTTTGTACTTCTAGTAAAGATGGGGTTTCATCTTGTTGGCCAAGCTGGTCTTGAATTCCTGACCTCAAGTGATTCTCCCGCCTTGGCCTCCGAAAGCTCTGGGATTACAAGTGTGAGCCACTGTCCCGGCCAAGATTTTCTGACCCTGAGGTCAGTGCCCATGCTGATATAACCCAGAAATGCCTTTTCTCACAATTTTAAATAGATAAAATCAGACCATTGAAAATATTTTATCTAGGACTGCAGTAAATGGGAAAAGAAAATTCAGAACTAAGTGGCCTAACACACTGTGTGCAGCCAACCAATAAGTGTAAGATAGGCTTGGGTTATTTCAGGTGAGCTAAGGAAGCCCAAGTCTCATCTGCAGTACCATCTTGGTTAAAGCCCAGCATACACCCCACTAAAAGGTTCACAGTGCCTAGACAGTCTCCCCCAATCACCCCAGAAAAACTGCTAAGGCCACAGGCAAGGTCTGAAGCTGAACCCACTTTAGTATTCTCCACTCCCTTGTGCTGGATCTGCACCTACTGAAGGTAGTTTTAGGGGGACCAGTTGGCTGCAGGAAAGCAAGTGGAGATGGGAAAACCCACACACAGGCACAGAGAGCACTGTGTGGCTATAATAATGAGGTGGCTACTATGAGTAGCCAGAGAGTACCAAACAAAGCCAGGAGCTCTGTTTATGCATCTGACTTTGAGCAAGTTGTTTAACAGTTTGGCATAAACTATAAAATGGGATATAAGACTGGAGAACGTAACATGTGCTAAATATGTACAAAAAGCATAAAACTGAAAAGACTGGGAAATCACTGTCTACTCAGGACTGCAGACACTACTTCAATTTACCGAGGAATTGCCCTTACTTTGAAGGGGGGCACTGGAAACAAATCTCAGTCTCCTTTGCAGTATCCTGCACTGCGTGTGTGTGTGTGTGTGTGTGTGTGTGTGTGTGTGTGTGTGTGTCTAACTGCATGAATAATTAATCTGTTCCTGCTATCTGTTCTCATACCAGTAGCCTTTGGCAATGCACTGATGGCATGTTTAAATTGATCCAGGGTCCTAGGAGCCATCTTGTGGAGCATCACTTCCAGCTTTCTAAGTGGCTTATAGAAATAACCTGGAATCTGTGCTGCCTGCCAGTCCTGGTGCCTAGATGATGCCCTGATGCCCAGAGGATACCCAGCAATTGGTGATTCAGACCCTGAACACATTGAGGGAGTATAGAGAAGGCGCAAAGAGAAAACTTCTCTCCATCTCCTGGAAAGCACACATGACGATCTGAGATCTCAGAGAGAGGGCTTCAGTTCTGACACAACACAGCCAAACTCCTGGCTGCTGCTGCTGCTAATGAGTGATGTTCTCTATCCCAGCCACTGTTCTAAGTGCTGAAAATATAGAACTAAATTTCATGATCACAACAACCCTATGTGCTGAGTGCTCTTATTACAGATGGAGGCACACTTGACATGGAGGCACAGAGATGTTAAATAACTTATCCATGATACTCATCTAAAAAATGGCAGAGATAAATTTAGACTCACTCTAGGACTGTCGTACCTAACCACTAACATTGCCTGTCATGGGGTCTGAGTACATAGGCTCACGTGCATCATCTCACAGAGGTAGGAAGAGAAAAGTTTTCACAGGGCAACCTTTCATCCTGGTCTTAACTTCAGGGAAAATGAGGCCTACTTTGTTGCTTTGTGAGGGTACAATCCCATGAAGAGTCACACTCTCTCACAGCTTTCTGTATCATCTCCTGAACTTGCCTTCACACTGCTACTTTTTTTTTTTTTTTTTTTTTGGAGACGGAGTTTCGCTCTTGTTACCCAGGCTGGAGTGCAATGGCGCGATCTCGGCTCACCGCAACCTCCGCCTCCTGGGTTCAGGCAATTCTCCTGCCTCAGCCTCCTGAGTAGCTGGGATTACAGGCACGCACCACCATGCCCAGCTAGTGTTTTGTAGTTTTTAGTAGAGACAGGGTTTCACCATGTTGACCAGGATGGTCTCGATCTCTTGACCTCGTGATCCACCCGCCTCGGCCTCCCAAAGTGCTGGGATTACAAGTGTGAGCCACCGCGCCCGGCCCACACTGCTACTTTTATGTGCACAGGGCATTACCACTTCCCCTCTACCAGGCAATTACATTCTGCTGCGGGACTGCCTCACCACCTGGATACAGGGCAGAGCCCCATGATGGAGAATGGAAAGCCAGGTGAAAACAGGAGAGAATTGACTAGAAAGACAGTGAGGCCTGTGAGAGCACAGGCTGTAAAACAAAACAAGCTGGTTTCAAATTGCCACTCAGCCACAAAGACATTTAGCAAAGTCAAATTCGATAACCTTTAAGGGAAAAACAATTCTACTATCTCCAGGTCTGTGCAGAAAGAGGCCTTCAAGGGCAGCAGAGAAGCCGGTGATACTGACCCGTAGCATGCAGCCGCTATCTCCTCCCTCATCTCCTCAGCAGAAGTGAGCGACTTTGAAAAGGATGTTATTGAAAAAGCTAGAGGTGTGAACTGTTAACATGCTCTTATGTTAACTCTGCTCACAAAAGGCAGCTTGACCCTAGAGCCACAGCCTAGCAAATTGCACAATATGTCTGTAAATGATGCTGGTACAGGGCTGAGCCCAGGCAATGTGCTCAGTAAGTGGCAGTGCTTTCCCCCCATTCTCTCCTCTTCAGCTCTTTCTCCTCTACTCCCTCCTTTCCTTCCAAATATGCCCAGCACAGTTAACGTTGTCTATAGGTAACTGGATTCTTTCAGGAAGGACTCTGCTCCCCTTTCACTGGAGATGTTCCACGAGAAAAACACGTGAGGACAACTAAAGGAGACTACAGCAGTAGAGAATTTTTTGACTTTAATGATTTTAACATTCCTTTCAAACTTGAGATTCTTTTTTCCAATTGCGAAGCATTTCATCCCCCCAGGACATGCACACAAATCAAGTTCAAGGGAAAGATAAGAGGCTTATCACAAAGCCAAGAAGAAACACAAGTACTCGGTGAATCATCACGGGCTTTGTAATTTCCACTAACGACAACAAATCAGGGGAGGACTCCGGGGCTATCTGAATAGGATCTACCCTCTTAGCTGAACTAAGCCGTGGGTGAACAATTCAGCCAGCATCTAGCCAATGACAAGGACAGTTGACTCATGCCAGGTGATGGTCATTTCAAGTGAACAACTGAGCAACCAATACAAAATAGTGTATTTAATAAAGTAGGCAATTGTACACACTGACTCATCTAGCACATTACAGACTCAAAACAGGAAAGATTCAAGTGTACACCATCAGAATAGATGAGCTTTACCTGTCAGTGCCTTACAGGAACCCACGCCCAGTTTGGGGAGCCGGACCACAATGACTACGGCATGCATGTCACCTCCCCTGGATTCATAGAGCTGGGCTAGACACCTGGAATACTTTTATCCAGAAATACGCCACGTAGTGCATTTGACAAAAACTAAGTCAGAGCTGTCTCTCCCCATGAACGTCGGACACTTGAGTTTTGGCCTCATTTCTCAACCTCCTTTTTCCATATAAATTTGAGTCCCTCTGTGGGCAAAGCCATCATCTCCCCTGATACTGGTGCTCATGGGCATTTCCCAAATGACTCTGGTGGGGAATTGCTGTTTACCTTACAAATTCTATGAAACCACGTTACCTTTACTTTAAAGAAAATGTGTTTTTCCTCCTTGCTTTGCATTAAGCTTTTACTTTGATAGTGAATTTTTTTATTTATATGATCTTTATAAAGAGATTTAATTGAAAATGCATGATTATACTGTGCTTTAGGGGAATGGATTAAAATAATATTTTGAAGAAATAATTCAAATTGTTTCTACTCCTAGAAGAAAAATTGCTGTGCATCTCTTTAGTGTCACACGTTTGATAGGGAACAATTGTACTAGTAACCATTTATTGTCAAAACCGTCAATTAGGATTCTAAAGAACTTGCGTCCTCCTGAATTCTTGTCATTGATTAAAAATAGTGACTGAGGCTAGTTCTGTTCTAGGAAATTTAAGTTCATGATGGAAACATTATGGAATTAAAGTTCATATTTACCGACAGGTATTAGCAAACGGGAGAGACATTTGCTCAAACTAACAAATTAATGCAGCTCTCTAATAAGTGAAACAAATGCAACGATGAAGTAAACACTAAATTGAAACTATCTTATTTGTTCTTTAGAACTGAATTTTTTTTTTTTTTTTTTTTTGGTCTATCATATAGTACCCAGACTTCCTGCAATCTTGCCCTTATTGATATCTCTTTACTAAGTATCTAATGTATGCCAGCCTAACTATCTATCATCCTCACAACCGCTCTGTGTATTGCCATTTGACAAATGAGGACATCCAGGCTCTGAGAGAGCTTCTCATTCAGAATTGCCCAGGTGGAGGACTGTGAGGGAGCTGTAAGCAAACTGCATGCCCCATGAAGACAGAATGTGTCTGTCTCATTACTACTCTGTACTTAGCTCCTATCTTGGAGCCTGTCACATAGCAAAGGTTTCAAGATTTATCAGTTAGAGCAATGAACAAATATGGAGCAACTGTCTGACTCCTTCAAATTTAGTGTCCTTTACATTTTAGCAAACTGCACAAATGGTATTGTCAGCAAGACAGGTTAGAGGAAGGACTCTAGAGTCTGAATTGAAACTGATTGGATGGTAGAAGCAGTACTGATGCTAAAAAAAACTTTAAATGGCAAATGATACTTTTAAAAAGTCAAAGACCACTGATGAAAACCACAAAGATTATTTTATTTAGAGCAAGACCATTTCTGAGAAGCCTGTTTCAAGCATTTGAGCCATTTAGTTATTTTGCAGAAAGGCTATTTTTCAATTTCTAAGAGATCATTCTCCTTTTAGAAAGAAGAGATATGTATTTTTTGAAATCAAGCCACTAATACAGATTAATTCAGGAACAGAAACTTCAAATATATTCTAAAGGGGTACAGATTCAGGTAAATACTTGACTCAATCTGTATAGCACAATACAAGAAGCAATTATAACTCTGATCCTTTGACTTCAGGAAAGATTGCAATTCTACTCTTTATATACTGTTAGTCTTTAAAAGGCAAAAAAAAAAAAAATCTAAAAAGAAAATGTAAAAGCCTGAAATAAAAGGATTTTTGAGCCCAATGTGTCTTCAGGTACTCACATGGTTGTGAATATGACTATATGGATATCATGAAAAATTAACTATTTTTGGCTGCCTATTACTTTTTTTTCCTTCTTTGTCTCATCCTGTAAGAGCACCAAGTCCTATTTTATCTCAAAGAATTTGTGATTGTTGGCTCTGAGTAGAACATACTCTGCTTTTATTTCTGCATGATGGGTATCATCATTTCCATGCATTTTTTTTTTATTTCCTTGGTAATTGACTGTGTCTGCTACTAGACTGTAATCCCACAAAAGCAAGGAACTCTTCTGTCTGGTCTAAATCTGTATCCCACTGCCAAGAACAGTATCTATCACATAGCAGAGAATAATTATTTGCAGAAAATAATAAGAACAAAAATCAGTGGTATTACCACGAAGCTTGCAGCTGTTCTTAAGAATTGGGTTCCAACCCAAATGCCCATTGATGATAGACTGGACAAGGAAAATGTGGCACATATATACCATGGAATACTATGCAGCCATAAAAAATGTTGAGTTCATATCCTTTGTAGGGACATGGATGAATCTGGAAACCATCATTCTCAACAAGCTGACACAAGAACAGAAAATCAAACACCGCATGTTCTAACACATAGGTGGGTATTGAACAATGAGAACACATGGACATAGGGAGGGGAGCATCACACAGTGGGGTCTGTTGGGGAGGACTAGGGGAGGGACAGCATGGGGTAGGGAGGTTGGGGAGGGATAATATGGGAAGAAATGCCAGATATAGGTGATGGAGGGATGGAGGCAACAAAACACATTGTCATGTATGTATCTATGCAACAATCCTTCATGATCTGCACATGTACCCCAGAAAATAAAGTACAATAATATATATATATATATATAAAGAATTGGATTCCCAAGGCCAGCTGTTAGAAGCTTGTTATCTTCCTTAGGGACTTTGCCCTCCAGGGAAAAATTATGCTTCTGTGCCTAACCAGCCCCAAGCTGTCCTCACGTGCATATCACAGACAGAGGCAGTGTGGACCACACAACCTTGCTTCTTAACTTTTCTAGAAAGTATTACTTTAAAATACTTTCACATTTTAAAATTAATTTAAAATGTGAATATTAAATAAATATATTACTCATTGTACAAGTTTTAAGTAAAGATAAATATTTTAAAATAGTATATACAAACACCAAGTATAGATTAGCTTCTCAAAGGTTTTTTAGTTGTTGTCTGGGCCTCGATAGCAAAGTTAACCTGAATCTTTACTTAGAGCCAGAGCACTGTGGGGAACGTGGACTGTTCCAGCACTTGGGCTTAGGCTCCCTTGATAAGTGGTGCAAGTTCAACCTCACTTTGCTGTTTATATCCTGTGACAGAGAGGTACTAATTAACTGTTAATTGACTTGTGAGCATTACCATATCCAAAAGTTAACAGATGGAGAGAGGAAGGCGAATTTCTTTTTGCTTTGTAAGACTTCAGTCTCTTTTTGCTTTGTAAGGCTTCATTTCAAAATTTGTCTTAATCTTTATTTCTTGCTATTTTCTTGTGAAAAGGAAGAGCATACAGGACTATTTCTCTCCTTGAGCCTACATGAATTGGTGGGTCCCTTCCAATCAGAAAAGATTTTCCTGGAAACTATGGCTCTAATGCATTTTTTCCAAATTTATCTTTCTAAACCTGTTCTCCAGACATTGTGCTTGAGAGTTCTGAGGGAAGGGACTTGCTTGCCTACATAATTATTAGGTTTTAGGGCTGCATTTGGATTACATCTTCATTCTTTTATTGACTATGTACACTGTGCTAATTTGATACTGCAGACAGAAAATTATGAAGGCACACTGCTCGCCGTCCTGTGATTTATATTCCAATTAGGGAAGTTGATGTACAAACATCTAGATAATAATAAAAGGAGAGTTTAGTACAACCATTTAAAAAAGAAAGCTGAAACACAAGGAAGGTAGAAAAAAAATTGTCTAAGTTCCCCTATTTCATCATCAATAGAACTATAGAACCCAGCTCTGATTCCAGCTTCTGTATGCTTGACACAAGTTTCCAAATAACCAAGGAATTGACTAGTCTTTTTATAGACCCTTTATCACTGGCTTCCTTTCCTAGAAGTTGTAGAAATCTTTG